TGCTCAGGTAGTGAGGTTCAATTACATAACATGCAACAGCATCGCTCAGCTAAAAAGCCACAGAGTAAAAGACAAATGAATTCAAAAGTACCTAAAATGATTTAACGCTCCAATGTACCACAGGGACATTGATGATAATTATAAATTATCTGGATGTGGGGTGAGCGCATGCAGTTTAATCCTTTAAGTTATCTCTAATCTTTAAAAGTAGAGTAACTGCACAAATTATTTCTGATTTGGAATTTCATTTGTGAGTGTATTTTGAATAGGAATCAGACCGACCAATCACTGGAGCCCATTAATCTCTTCCCTAATGCAGCAGACAGGTGTGGAGTCCACATGGTTTCAAGTTCCCCATTATTTTTTATTGCATTAGTATTTATTTATTTACAGTCTGCTTTTTAAGGATATGGAAACATCTGCTTAAAGATAATTGAGTGTGGGTGGAGAGGACTCGATTGGTTAGATTATATTCAGGCTGAACAGTCACTGTAGGTGAGTGGGGCCTGGAATACCCAGGGAACTGGAGAAATATGATTTATAGCACTCAGCCTTCTCATTATTTGGTTGAGGCTGTCAGCTGTCACTGCACACACAGGAAATCCACGAGGCTACATAGCCACAGGGCACGGGAACAGTGCGACTGCGCATCCTCCAAAACCCGGCGTAATGACAGGCTGTGGGGATGACTGACAGACGTCAGCACTGTCTGCGTCCCTTTTCCATTCAAGTCAAAGCTTTGAAAGGCTGACGGCTGTGTGCTGAAGGTACACTTCGTGTGCACGTATGCACAAATGTGTGAGAAGCAAATGCACAGAAGGAGAAAAGCAGCAAACACAAATACATTTAATATTTTTTGTAAACACTCAAAAAAAAATTTGTTACTCCTTTTAATCATTTACTCCACATTTTTATTTAAAGTCATTTAAAGTACCTTTCAATGCTTTAAAAAAATGCATATTGTTAAAGTGAAGAATCACTTGTGATACCTGTGTCTCATAATTGCTACTCTCAGCCTGGTTTTAGCTCACCTTAGAGCTTCCTTTATTTCCAGACATGCTCAGTTCGGGTTAGTCTGATAACAGAACTACAACCACAGAATGGGCACTACACAGAAGCAGTTATGTATATATATATATAATTACTTTGTTAATGGTCAGCCTCAAGCAGCCACTTAACCAATGTCGCAGTCAATAGTTGGAGACAGCAGCGCGGCAGCAGACAGTTAAAATAATCATTCTTTGTGAAGTGACACAGACACAGCACACGTCACCGAACGCTCGATCAACACAAGAAAGAAGACACGTTAGTTTCATTTATATACTCTTTAATATATCTTAAAAAATGGATATACAATCTGAGAAAGAAAATGTTGAGGATCTGAGGAAGAACAGATTGTTAATCTCGTTCCTCTGGCCCTGGAGTTTAACTGAAGCGAAGACATTTCCAGAGAAACATCCGAAGAAGAGGAGAAAACAAAACAAAATTACCTCCAACACCACAAACTGCCAAACTAAAGGACACCGGTAACAAGATCTCCAATAGCAAGCAAAAGTATTATTAAGGCCAAGAAAAAGCACTGAGTGTTGGGCTGAGGCGAAAACTACAGACACAGTTTGTTGCCAATTAATGAAGCGTGGGGTAGCCAGATCTGGGACTGCTGTCACTCTGTTTTTAAGCTCCTGGGTCTTTTATTTTGGCAGAGTCGGGTGTTTTGTGTTGTTGTGTTTGCTAAGAAAATAAAAATGATCTGAGCTGATGAATCCAGATTTTAAAAAAAGAAAGAGGAAACCAGAGCATGCTAACAAGTCACATCGTCTCCACAAGTCACACTGTAACTGCCCACACACACACAGACACACTCCAGAAGCACAAACGGTCATTTTTGTTAATCTTACACGCACACTTCCTACACAAAAATTCAATCTTCTGCCTCTACATTTCCACATCCTCGGTAGACTGCAACACTCGCACAGAGACGTTTTCCTCATGCAGACGTGAAAACAAAGCTGAACAGGTGAAAACAGGCGATGCTTACAGACTCAAACCGGAGGCACAGCAATAGCCAGGGCCGGGCAAAAGCCACTCACAGACATATGCGCTCTGACACACGCTCACACACATAAAAACACAATCACTAGCCAAAACCCACAGCAGCAGAGGTTCATGGAGACATTATCTAGTTAGTCCAGAATTCCTAGCCGCCATCCCACAAAGCATAAACTGCTCTAGTCAACCGAGAGGCGCCAATATAGTTTAACTAGTTAACTAGCACTCGAGGTAGTAATTTAATCCAGTGTCAAACATGTCAACTGCCTCAAGAGTGTTTCCCACCAAATCTGTGCAGTTTTTTTAACCTCCCCCTTTTCCCCAGTGTTTGACTGTGACCAAGCCTGCAGAGCTCCACACATTTATTAGACCCCCCCCCCAGGGTAAGGTTTACGTCACTGCTGCCCTAAATTAAAAGTATTAGTAATGACCAAAATCATTGTTTATGTTTCTGTAATGCTTAATCCTGCAGTACGCACAAGCTCTTAATCAAAATTTGATTTTTAAATGGTAAAATATAGTTATTGTTATGATCCCTGACATTTTAAATTTCCTGTTTCACAAAAACGCTGAAAAAGTAAATCACAATTATTGGCAATTATTATTATTATTTTTATTAAGATGCCAAATGACATGCTAACTTGCATTACTGAATAGAAAAATTTGTTTTAGTTGTTGAATGTGATGTCTCAGAGAAGTGCTGCGGATCAAATTCACCTATAAAAATGTAAAATCGGTTTGTTTTTGCATAAACAAAGAAAAAAAAAAACATCTTTTTGACAGAATTCTCAAATATTTGTGATTCCTGTTTTTATGACAGGCGTTCCAATAGCTTTGTTAAGTACTGCACTCATAGATTTCATAGATGTCCAGAATGACGCCTTCCTGCAGTCTCTAACAGATCTAAAGCCACTCACATTAGCTAGCTAGTAATCCTGCTAGCATGTCATCTTGCCATCTGTTTTCATGCAATCTGGAAACCTGCCTTTTAATGTAGCTGCTTGAACCAACGTTCAGGTCTTCTGGGCTTCTGATGTACCCAGTGGAGATATATTTGGGCCAAGCTTTCATATTCTTTTGGCCAGTTATGGCTTGCACCTGCATGCAACTACAGCCTGCTCACCGATCAGTTGAACTCTGACTACAAACAATAACAGCAGACTCTGCACGTCTGTACGCAGATATCATTTACAGAGTGGTCTTTATGAACCTCTGCTATTGTTTTCTCCACACACATTCAGATAGTGAAATCATACAGTCTGCTTACAAAGGGGGAGAGACTGAAATAGCGCCATTTTTAGAAAGATACAGTCAGCTCGGAAATCTCCCTAAGGGAGCAGAACGAG